AGCATGAACTGACCAATGTTTTTGTTTGCATTATTGATCTTTAACTTGATTAACACCACTTACACAATATAATTTATAACTTTTCTTAGGCTACAAGGGATGTTCCTACTCCCGACTTGGCCTCTGCGTTGCGCGGTCTCGATTTCAACATGTTTTTGCATCCGCTAGACGATTCCTCATCGACGTCGACTGATCCCTTCTTTGACGCAAAGTGCAAGGCGATCATCACAAATGTGAAATCCTTTTTTGAACAGCTGAAGGCAAGACTCGGGAAGGAATGTGCGGGGACCATCTTCAATGCACCGACGCAGCTGACTGCAATTGCTTGCGGAGTTTCGACCAATGTGGTCAGCAAGCTCAAGGTCATCGAAGGTGTTCTACAGCCCATCCCTAGCACCTCGTCTGCAGTCCAGAGGACCCGCAAGCATCGTAGGCGTGCAGCCCTCGAAAAGCACGGTGACGAATGGGGCGATAGAGTGCGACGTCTGATACATGAAAAGCTTGGAGACGAGTTCAACATCACAGTGGCGGAGCTATGGACGGAAATGGGGGAGACATACCCCGATTTTGTTCTAGCGCAGACGACATTTTATTACCTTCTGCGAGGTATGGGGTTCTCGTATAGGAAGTTAGACGGCCAGAGGATTATATTTGAGAGCAGGGACATCGTGACCAAGAGAGCAAAGTATCTGGAGGCAGTGGAAACGCGGTGTCAGACCCAGTGTTCCGTCTAAATAGACGAGACCTGGGTCTTCGACGGAATGACGAGGAAGCGCGGCTGGTGCGACACCCACATCCTAAGATTTGCTCCTGCATCCACGATCCAGGAGTATTCTTGCGGATTAACGACGTCGAAGAGCAGGGGTCGCAGAGCCATTGCAATCGGCGCGATAACAAGGGAAGGAGTTGTCCCGGGGTGCACCCGAGTCGTTATCCGCGGAAGGAGTGCGATGGATGGAGATTTCCTTGGAGACATGAATCACGCAGTTTTCAAAGAATGGATTCGCTCTTCCATACCGCACATGCTTGCATTTGCGGGAGGTCGGCCTGTCTCCATCATCGTAGACAACGCCTCTTATCATTCACGCCAACTGGAAAAATTCTCACCAAAACTAAACAGTTTTCGAAAAGTACTGATGACAACTACATTCAAGATACCGTCACGATCATCCACGAAAGCGATGATTGAGGATTATCTTAGGTCGAAGGGCATCTTAGTTGCGGACAATTCCGCGAAGGAAGATCTGTTGGTGAAGGTACTGGCTATTCTGAAAAGAAGTACGGTTGAATAATACGTTTTAGCTTAACAACTACACTGCCAGTCGCGGCGGTGTATCTGCTGTGCACAGATACGCAGTCGAAAGCATCTGCGCTGAGGGTGGAGTC